GATCATGAGTCAACGTTGTCATGCAATTTTGAGAGGTCCACCATTGTCGAACAAAAACATTTGTCATCTTTGTCGATCTGTACCAAAGGGAATGATAGATAAACAGGGATTAGCCAGTGTGGGGTGGGTGCCTCAAATATCTACATAAACTTTGTATTTTAATTATCGCTTTTATAAGGCACTATATATCTTAGGTTTGAATACTCTAGTTGATGAGCCAAATACTGAACTCGGTCGTCGTCCTTTAGTACACTGTCAATTCGGACCATCCTTACTGAACTGAACTGACCCTTTTTGAGCGTTGCATACGTAACCAGCACCCGTCCAACAGAATTTTTTAGTTTTTAATTTCAAACTTCATTTGTATCGTTGATCTTATCCATAGAATTCATGCGGTTTTCTCTATTTATTAATTTTTATATTATAATGTAAATTTTTTCGATAACAGCAGGTCCACATCAGCTATTTTTAGCTGCCTTAAATCAACCTGCCATACCAAATAAAGTGTATGTCTGTATGTAGATATACACATGTACCTCCTATTATTCTTAGATGACAATGGATCTCAGGATCTCATTGTGTAACCTTCCTATACAGTGTTTAGGCAAAACATATCTTGGTGACATCCATGAAATAGTGAATATGTGCCACATAATTTAGAATTTCTGTTACGTATGATATCAAGTAAAATGTATCAGTATACGTCCTTTGTGAGGCCATAACGAAATTGACACACCCGAAATGGAATTAGCACGTGCCGGAATTACTGAGGAAAAGTTATAAGTTGTAATCATTTCAGGCGACTTAACGGATTATGTTGTTAAAATGGTAAACAGGCAGTCAGCGCTACTCTGTAAAAGTGTCCTGCAAATTGCGCAGAGGTTTAACGCGATCAATTGCTAACTCTGGATCTTCGCTTTATTCGTTAAGTTGTGTTGTCGTGTCATTGTACATCAAGTAGCAAATCAACCTTAAGTCATATACGACCTCGATCGTCCTCCAACCTCCATGATACTAGACTATTTCTTAAAATATCATTGTCCTGGCGAAAATAATGTTCAGTAATAGTTTTAATCGACTGATTTCTTCATAAAACTGCTCTAATGGTCTTTTTTGTCCTTTTCAAGATAGTCCAGTAGTCAGGTTTAGCACATGATCTCGTTATAGCATATAACTACCGTATTCCTCTTCAGTGTTCACAATTGTGTGTACGGACATATATTTTTAAAGTTTATTTTTGACGGTGAATTCATGTTTCTGCAACAAGATATCATAACAGCTATTTACTGTGGTTTGGCTAACCATGTGAGGTTTTTCTAAACTCTTTTAACGAAACTAGCACAATGAGTGCTGGTGTCCTTGCGCCATGGTGACCATGATAATGCGAAACTTCTCCACTACATCGAGGAGAAGCCATGTTTTTAAGGTATATATCGAATGAGCCATTCACAACCAATCAGCTAATAATAATAATGATGACGATGATGATGATGATGATGATGGTGATGACAACAATTATATGTTAATATCTGTACTATAAAGTAAATAATATGTATATTCTTAAACTTACTGTATTTGGAATAGAATAGCTGTTGTACATCTTTCTATGTGTACCTCTCATTGGTGCAAGCTAAATAAATAAAGAGAGAGGTACTATGTAGTTGCAGGCCTATTTTGATAACATATTCACCTTATTTACAATCATGAGTAATCTCGTCAATTGGATGACACACCGATCGGTATAAGCTACTGATATAAGCTTCTGCTAAATACAGTTGCAGGCCAAAAATCAACAGAACACTTTCAAAGATGTTTATAATGTTACTAATTCAAAGTAATAATATAATACCAAAGTGGTCTCGGAATTTGATGTTGATGTCAGGATTCAGGCATAAAAAAGAGTACCCTGCACTTGATCCAAAGTTGTACACTTGTCCTGAAGTGTCTTGGAAAATCAGAGAAGATTCACAGCCTAAGTCCTCTAGAAACATGATCTGTTCAAGTAGATGAAAAAGTAAAATTTGGCACGAGGATTACTCAAAAGGACAAAAACATCTGCATCTTCCATTAATTACCACAGAGTATAATTAACAATTATTCGCCGAAGGAGAGGTGAATATTGTCAAATAATCCACAAGACGAAGTCGAGGGGATTATTCCATAATATTCACCGAACCTGAGGTGAATAATTGTTTTAGTATAATTTCAGAGCTGAACAACAGAGAAATTTCTAAAATCATAACATTTTAGTAACATTTACTAACATTTTATTTTAACATTTTATATAAACCATGCAGAGCGGTTTATATAGCGTCATATAAGGAACCGCTCGACCAATCAGATTGTTGGAAACTCTTTGCTCAGCTCTGAAATTATACTAACAACAATTAGAAATTATTCATCCACTTTTAATAAAGTTTTAAATTATTCTGAATTTTCATGGTTTATGCTGCNGTACAATCGTACAGTGAACTTCCTTGACCTTGGTGTATGACGGGCAAAATTTTGTTTAAGATTCAATCCTTTAAAAGATAAGTTGGTGCAGTACATAGAGTAAGGGAAGTATAATTCTGAAGGACAATATACCACTACATCATTTACATATGTCGGTGCGCTTTGAAGAAAGAAGCAGTCACCACAATGATCGCTATTATTATTCAACGAGATGTAAATAAGTGGCGGGGTATTCCGCATACATCAAACATGGTAGTGTTTCAGTCCAACTAATAAATATCTTACCTTTACTTGATCAATAGTCAGCCCAGTTTCCTCGGCTGCCACACCAATCTTTTCCGTATTATCAGAACTGCATGTTTTCATGCCGCCGTCATAATATTCATGTAGTTTTGACCTTTGTACATCGCTTATTTTATTATATGTTCTTTTGCGAGCTCTACTTGTATCCTTGTCAGTCATAGTGACGAAGAAGCGCCAAAAGTACACGACCAACCGATAATACCTGAACGTGCAAACCAAGTAGAGCTAGCGAGTTCGTAACTATTTGGTAAAGGATTTCCCCTTACGCGTTCGAAGTGAAGGAATTTGATTGGTCGAAATGTTTATACATATTTAACAAGCTACTGGGAAGACTTAAATGATCATTTGAGACGGCTTGAACCCACTGATATAAATTTAGATTATATGGGTGATAGCCATTTAGATTGTGTAAGTAGGGTGACAAAAGCGTCCATCAATAAAATTTTTCTCCGTGCAGATTTTTTCCCATTGAATTTTTAAATAACGCATGAGTACCTTCCTAGAAGTACACATCATGGCCGCTACGCGCCTCGTTGGCTATCTATCATCTCATTTCCAACGCGCGCTCGTCGAATAATTGTTACTTAGCTTGAAATAAACAAGCGCGCTTTGCCGCGCGGGTGAGAAAGCTCTCAAGCTTGACGTCATGTAAATTCTAAATCGGTCACATGTGGCCTAGAGAGGAAGTCTTCTTTGGCCAATTTCGGTGAGCTAGCCGGCGAATTGGTAATTTAGACGATTTCACAGGTATGTTGCTTGAAAAAGACGCTGTGAGCCAGTCAACAGAGCCTTTCATTTATACTTCAATCAAACCGTAAACAACATAACAGCGAAACGGGAAAATACTTACTGTTCACCACGTGACGTAACCAACACTTAAATTTTGCGGCCGGTTTCGTAGTAATGTACTTTTAGGAAACTGCAATGTCACGTTCTCTCCGTAATCCCTTCGTGCCATCAATGCAGATATTTTGATCGCCAACAATCTAATATTTTTCCACCATTGGTCTCGCAGTGTAGAGTCTCAAGCGGGTGAGGACGCCTTCGCCCGAAGTCCCCAACAAGATGGCTCCCGTCAAAGACTTAATCGAACCATAGTTAGTAGAGGGGAATGGTTATGAAACCCGGTAAACATCAAAGGGTTAAACACTAGCGCGGTCGGTGATGTTGAACAGACCCGTCACGTGACTCTGACCGTGCACAAGTTCATTCAAGATGGTGGACGGTGTAGACGATCTGTTTGTGTAGGGAGAAGATTTTGAAGCGATCTTGGGTAATTTTGAAGACGATGACGAAGTAGAAGAGCAATTTTCCGTCGCAGTTAGAAATGTAAGTTCAAAAAGTTGCAATTTCGAGTTGTGATTTCGCACTACTGAGCTTAAATTTGCCACAGATGGGCTACTCGACGCGTGTACAAACGAAATTCAACAAACGCTGGCGTAAAAACCATGCTTTTATATTGCCGTTTCTTCGAATGCAATCTTCTTTAGGGCTCCTGCCAAAACAAGAAATACTTGTAAAAAGCTTCTAAAGAGCTCAAATCTCCGGAATGTAGTGATTTCTCGAAATTATTCTAAGTGGTAAACCTTGTAATTGATGGAGCGTCGCGGCTTCACGATACTTTCTTGATCGAAAAAAGTGGCCTCCGAATTTTTATTTTTAAACTCTTAAGTAGTTTATTTATCTTACTATGGTCATTTGTGTAATATGTTTGTAGGCTCAGCGTCAAGAAATTGTTTGTCATGACTGCGGAAAGAAATACAAAACAAGAGGAGGTTGTGACAGACACAGGGCTACAAAACACAACAATCAACAGGAAGGATTGGAGCAGGTGCAACAGTTAAGCCTGAGTGTTCTTG